TTCCATTTAACTTCCTATTAATTAATTTATTGCAACATTGCCCTGGGAAGCCATGTTAACACGAGGAAACAAAAAAATTAAGCCCTTAAAACAAAAATGCATCTACAATGGAGGTGTATTGCCTGACTTTTTCACATCACGTCTTTCTTTATTTTTCATTTCATTACTCTTTCTTTCTTGCTTTCATTGAGGTTCATTTATATTGCTGTTTTATTTAAGGATTTTTATTTTAACAGCGTTTTTCTCTTTTTGCCATACATTTCCAATTGGTTATCATAAATAATAGCAAATGACAACAAAAATAACTATGTCTTTGAGGCAGCTGAAATGATCTTAAATTATTTAAGGGCAGCACAGCAGCTCAGTGGTTAGCTCTGCTGCCTCACAGCACCATGGACCCAGTTCAATTCCAGTCTCGAGCAACTGTCTGTAGAGTCTGCACATTCTCACCCTGTCTGCATGGGTCTAGTTTGTGTGCTCTGGTTTCTTCCCACAGTTAAAAGATTAGGTGGATTAGCCCTGGAATGCAGGTTTAGAGGGATGGGACAGGGCGGGTCTGGGTGGGATGCTCCTCACAGGGGCAGGGTGGACTCAGTGGGCTGAATGGCCTGTTACCACACTGTGGGGATTCTGTGATTCTATTAATTATTACTCCAAGAATTCAAAATATTGGGCATCAGTATCCACTGAAAACAAAATGTATCATTTCAACTGTAGTTTGCAACAAAAATTACTCAATTGTATCTTGAGAAGTCTTGAGAATGGCTCGCGCAAAATTATTGAGACTTTGATAGGACTACTGCAGACACTGGACTAAGCATAACTCTTCTGGGTCAACTCTATTTCTGATTTACCCAAGGCCGTTGCAACTGAATTACAAACCCTGATTTTGATCTCTATAATGAGAATGTTTTTCATGAACAAATCCATGACAAAGAGAAAACCATATGATATTCTAGGCTTTTTTGGGGTATCTGAATCTGAACATAGAAAATAAACTACATAATCTCACTAAGGAAGCTGGCATTCCCTCACACTTAATTTTAATGTACCATGTCAAATACCTCAAAAATATTACTTTGCTCCAAAGAACACATCACATTTAAAGAATGGTCACTATTTGAAGAGTAGGCACATTGCTACAACTGCAGAATGTCACATATAATTAAGAGTCTAACAATGCCAATGCACTATATTTGAGGTACATCTGATTGTAATTCTCAATCGCCTACAAGCATTAAGTTCAAATCATAAGCAACGTTATTTTATCACCACTCTAAAGTTACATATTGAATAAATTTATCTTAGCATTATTTTTCTATCTACATCATCTTCTGAGGCAATCTCTCAAGATCGAGGATGACTTTCTTCCACTTCAGAATTGCAGGCCCCGAGGTGACTAAACAGTCCAATGCTGGATCCTTACAGACTCTAACCAGATTTCCTCACATGTTTTCCACTGTTTGTGCTTAGCCTCCTCAGAGTGTTAGAGATGACTGGCACCTTCATGGATTTTTCCCCAGACTGGGTGGCCACTTGGTACCAGATTAAAATTGTATCAGAGATAGTAGGAACTGCAGATGCTGGAGAATCTGAGATAACAAGGTGTAGAGCTGATGAAAGGTCTAGGCCCGAAACGTCAGCCTTCCTGCTCCTATGATGCTGTTTGGCCTGCTGTGTTCATCCAGCTCTACACCTTGGTACCAGATTAATATTGATAAGCATACTTTCTTTTCATGGAGGCCTTCAGGACATTCTTGAAACATCTTCCTTATCGTCTACTACAAAAATGCGTGCACATTTGTGCGCTAGGGTGGGGATTGGGGGGGGGGGGGGGGGGGGGGGGGGGGGAGAGGGGGGGGGCCGAAGGGACCAGAGCTTGTTCACTGTCCTTTTTCTC